CTCTTTTTCTCTCTTCTATTTTGTTTTGTTTCTTCTTTCTTGTGGTTCCTCCTATTCTTTCTAATTCTTCCTCACAACATGACTAATGTGAAAATATGTTTAATAGGAACGTATACATAGAGTTTATATCAGAATCCATGCTGTCTTGGGGAGGGAGGCAGAGAAGGAGGGGGGAGAAAATTTAAAACTCAAAATCTTATGGAAGTGATTGTTGAAAACTAAAAGTAAATGAATTAATTAAAAAATGTGGTGCCCAGAAATGAACATGACATGCAAGATGAACAAGAACATGACATGTCTGATGAAGACAGAATACAATGGTACTACCACTGCCCTTTTAGTCGAAGTGACTGGATATGTATACTTCATCTGTATTCTTCCTGGCCCTGGCCAATCTGGAGGACTACCACAATATCTATAAATACTTGCCTTAGAAAAAAGGTTAATGATATTCTCATGGTGCTCATTTAATAGTATTCATAATTCTTATTGCATATTTTCATAGCACTTTCTAGTTTACAAAAGTGCTTTACCTACATTATCATTAATCTTTATAGTCATATGGTATTAGACAGATGGTAAAACTGGGGCACAGGGAACTGAAGTGTTAAGAAGCTCATAGTCAAAGTCTGTGGGGGAGCCAGGACTCAAACCCAAATCTCCTGACTCCAGATCCATGTTCTTTCTTTTTCATTTGTTTGTTTGTTTTTTGTTTTTGCTAGGCATTGGGGTTAAGTGACTTGTCCAAGGTCATACAGCTAGTAAGTGTCAAGTGTCTGGTCTGAGACCAGATTTGAACTCAGGTCCTCCTGACTGCAGGGCCAGTGCTCTATCCACTGTGCCACCCAGCTGCCCCCTTTCTTTCTTTTTTTAAAAAAAGTATTTTATTTTTAATTTACAGGATAAAACAAGCATTTCTATAACATAGTATAATAAAAAGGATGATTGAACATGAGACTGCAAATCTACTATGTACAACTTACTCTTCCTTTTAAATATGCAAAGATCATGTGAATTTCTTTTTTTCCCCTTTTTTTCTTCCCCCCCACCCCCCTACTTTGTGTCTAAAGGTGGCCAAATCCATGTTCTTTCCACTAAAATCCTTACTGTCTCCTCTATCCTAAACACACTCATGTCTTACAGCCTTATTGGGGATAGAGAGAAGACCCCTAAAGAAGGTTATCTGATTTCACTAACTCAAATAAGATTAGACCAGGAAAGACCAAACAACTTTATGCCCTTTACAACCATTCCCACCTAAACTTCCTGCAGATTTTACCTTATTTCTTTTTCTTCTGTTTCACTCCGTCTGTGTTCCTTAACACAACCAAGTTGAGGTTAGTTGAAGTGAAAAGCAGTTTCATTCTATGCCAAACCAGTAGAATTGGGTAGATACAGTATCCCAGGGGTCCAAGAAGTAACAACCATATTCCTGATATTTTTATATACTTTTAAGATTTCAAAAGTACTTTCCTCCCAGAAACCTGTGAAGTAGGTAGTATAATATTATCTCTACTTTAAAGATTAAGAAATTGAGATCAAAAGAGATTAAGCAATTTTTCAGTTACATAGCTAGCTTAGGAGTAAGAATCTTCCCTCCCCAACTCCCATCACCCCCTGCTGCCCAGTGCTGATGGGAGATGAGTCAAATAAAACATAAAGTCTTAAAGAAGGTAGATAGAGGATTCATTTATTTCCTTTCCACATGGGAAGCTAAAGGCTTTGGAAATCTCTATGTCACCACTATGCTGGGGATTATAAACTCATCTGATATTTGGGAAAGATGAAACACAAAATTCTGGCATTAGAAGTGAGATATGGATAAAGCATTTGTTATGGGGTTATGAAGGTCAGGTTTCAAAGGGTCATGGGAAAAGATAAGAAGGATTAGATGGCCTAAAACTTCCTCAGCAAAGATGGGAAATTCTTAAGAATGAAATTCTAGAAAACAAAAACAAAAAATTCAGATCATGGAAGAAAGCAGAAGCTATCCAAAGAAACCAAAGACACTTGTGGATGCACAAGGATCTTACCTCATAAACTTCAATTTTAAGAAAGGTGAAAGCAAGTATAGGTAATATAAGATGAAAAGCTACAAAGGCGTGTCATTGTCCCTAAAACCAGCATCAGGAGGACTAAACCACTGAAGAAGCTGAGCCTGACAAGGAAGACTGACAACAAAAAGATTTGGTTTGGTTTGGGGTTTAGCCATATTGAAGAGAAATGGTGGGAGAAAGGGCTAGGATTGCTGCTCAGGGTTGATTAGACAATAATAATGAATTATGATGAAAAAGTTGAACACCTGCCTGGTGAGGCAGTGTGATCCAGTGAAAAGAGCTGCTTCTGGAGACAGAAGGCCTGGGTTCAAATCCTTCCATTGATATTTATTATCTTCTGACCTGGGGCAAGTCCCTTGAGTTTGCTAGACCCCAGGCTCCTCATTTATAAGATGAGGAAGTTGGAGTGGGTAGCTCCACTTTTTTTAAAGCTCCATTTTCAAGAACTACTCAACTGTAAAGTTTTTGCACAAATAAAGCCAATACAACTAAAATTAGAAGGAAGGTAGAAAATTGGGAAAGAATTTTTACAACCAGTCTCTCTGATAAGGGCCTCGTTTCTAAAATATATAGAGAATTAAGTCAAATGTATAAGAATATAAGCCATTCCCCAATTGATAAATGGTCAAAGGATATGAACAGACAGTTCTCAGATGAAGAAATGAAAGCTATCTGTAGTCATATGAAAAAATGCTCTAAATCACTATTGATTAGAGAAATGCAATTCAAAACAACTCTGAGGTACCACATCACACCTATCAGATTGGCCAACATGACAAAAAAGGAAAATGATAAATGTTGGAGAAGATGTGGGAAAATTGGAACACTAATGCATTGTTGGTAGAGTTGTGAAATGATTCAACCAGTTTGGAGAACAATTTGGAACTATACCCAAAGGGCTATCAAAATGTGCATACCCTTTGACCCAGCAATAGCATTTCTAGGGCTATATTCCAAAGAGATCATACAAATGGGAAAAGGACCCACATGTACAAAAATATTCATAGCAATTCTTTTCGTGGTGGCAAAGAATTGGAAATTGAGGGGATGCCCATCAATTGGGGAATGGCTGAGCAAGTCGTGGTATATGAATGTAATGGAATACTATTGTGCTATAAGAAATGATGAACAGGCTGACTTCACAAAAACCTGGAAAGACTTGTATGGTCTGATGCTGAGTAAAATGAGTAGAACCAAGAGAACATTGTATACAATAACACCCCACATCGTGTGATGACTAATATTGATAAACTTAACCCTTCCCAGCTATACAAGGACCTAAGACATTTCCAGAGGCCTCGTGATGGAAAATGCTATCCACATCCAAAGAAAGAACTATGAAAACTGAATTGCTGTTTTTTTTCTCTTCTGTTGAGTTTTGTTCCTTCTTTCTGATGGTTCCTCCTATTGGTTTTCATTTTTACTTCCAACATCACTAATGTGAAAATATGTTTAATAGGAAGGTAAATGTATAGACCATATTAGATTGTGTGCCGTCTTGGGGAGAGTGGTGGGGAGGAAGGAGGAGAAAAAGTTTAAACTCAAAAGCATATAGAAGTGATTACTGATAAATCAAAAATTAATATTAAACAAAAGAACTACTCAACTCTTCTGTGTTTTTTCTATGCCAAGGGGATTCTATGATTCCTTTGGAGCAAAAAGTGAAAGTTGTAGAGAGAGTAATTAAATGTAAACATTTGGAGAACCATCCTAACAATTAGATCTGTCTACAAATTAATGTGAAGCTCTGGAGCAGGGCAGTTTCCCACTTATTAAAGGCTTCCAGGCAGAGGCTAGTTGACCACTTGTCACTGATTTCATAGCAATAATGCTTCTTCAGATATTGGGTTGCACTAGAACAAGGAAAGTCACTTAATCTCTCAGCCTCAGTCTCCTCATCTATAAAATGGAGATAATAATAGCACCTACTTCACGGGGTTCTTGTGTGGATCAAATAAGACTGTATGCCTCTCCCTTGGGGTCTATTGATAGATGGGGGGGGAGAAGTGTCTGTGAACTTAGATAGGACAAATTGCATCTTTATTTTCACTGACCTCTAACTAAAATACAGTATTTCCTTCAATTGTGTTTAAAAAAAAATAATTATCCTAAGAATGGATCCATAAGCTTTGCCAGACTGTCTAAAGAATTCACATAACAAAGAAAGCTTAAGAACCCTTGAGTAGATGGATTCAGTAAAATTAAAGACTTCTTCCTATACCTGAAATACAAAGATTCTGTGGTTCTACAAGTTTCCATCTTGGTCACAGTGTGATTTCAATCTGTTCTTCAGTTCCTTCAACTCTGAGGACATTTGGGGATTCTGTTATTCCATAAGTTTTAATTCTGACGATGATACTCAATATGCATGTAACCTGGTGCAAGCCACTAAGCCTTGCAGGTCCTCAGTTTTGACAGCACAATAATGATAGCCCTTAACATTTATATAGTGCTTTAAGGTTTGCAAAATATCTCATTTATATTATCTACAGCAACCTGTGAAGTAGGCATATTATTTTCAAATTTTACATATGAGGAAACTGAGGCTGAGGAAGGTTAAATGACTTGCCCAGGGTCACACAACTAATGAATATGTGAGGCAGGATTTGAATTTAGGTCTTCATGACTTCAAGCCCAGTGTTCTAAGCCACTCTGCTATCCAGTTGCATCCCCCTTTCATTTCTAACATCTTATATTTTATGTTGTATGTTCCCAAATGGTTCATTGTTCTAAGTTCTAAAATCTTTCCCAGCTGTAACAATCTGTTTTCTATTTTCCAAGGTTCCTTCCAGCTCTAGGTCCTATAAAACAGGACCACACATCCCTCTTTTCTCATTCCCTTTTGATCCTTAAGAATGAAACTCTTTGGGCCCTTTCAAAATGTGTATGCATAAAGATTAGGGGGAAGAATGACATGCGGAGGACAAGAAGAGAGAGCAGTGGTTTGAGCTTTCAGAAACCTGGTTTATTTCAGGGAAACAAAAGGAAGAGGAAGAGATGGGCCTCAAACCGAGCTCTCCAGGGGCCTTGTGGTGTCAGTCTTGACTGGCCTCTTCAGCAGAAGCAGTTCAATAAGAGCAGGCAAAAGGCAGGCGGCGTTTGCATGGGGCTCGACGCCAATGACCCCCTGTTAAGAAAGCTCCTGCACATTCTGCTGCCTATCTATGGCCTCTAAGGAACTCCATTACTCATTCACACCCAGCACCCTCATTCCGTTCTTCTTCCCAGGGGCCCCAGAACAGCCTGTAGACCTCTCCCTCAGAGAGACCCTTAGACAAGAGATTCCAGTAAATAAACAAACATCTCATCGGGGCCACCTCCCATGTCCCCTGGCTGCCCATCCCATAAGGTTTCCTTCCTCCACCACCAAATTGCCCCAGGGAGCAGAGTATGGGCATGTTATGTGACATAACATAACAGAAACAACATAGGAGAGATTTCCTTGCTATTCATTTCTCCGAATCTACCCCATTTCCCAGGTTCCCTTGTTCCTACTCACCTCGGGTACAGAAGGCTACACATCGGCCCCCACCATTTCCAGGTTGGCCTGCTGCCCAGTAAGAAAATGTCCAATGACTCCCATCAACCCAACGAAATCTCTTTCTGAAAAACTACAGATCAGATGGGAAAGGACAGGTGAGGTGCAGAGACCATGAAATTGAGTTTCGTACATGCCATACAGGAAAGCTAACTAACAGTATCCCTGGCATTCTCAGTCTCTGAATACCAGAGAATTGTGGTCCTGGGTCAAAACAAGCACTATCCTAAACAGGTAAATATTGATAGGAACCATCCAAGCCCAACCCACTGAGAACCAAAGGCGCCCTTCTCTCAGTTGTGCCCATCGCCCATATCATCATTAGGGCTTCCTCCAAGCCAGGCGAATAAGGTCTGTGCTGTGGCTAGGTAGTCAGTTGGGCCTCTTTAAAGAGAGCCAGGGAAAAAGCTCCATGCCCAGAGTTCTTCTCTGTTCTCTTCTTACCCGGCCCCTGACTCTGGCTCCAATCCAGATCTGGCTGCGATTGATTCTACTAGCCAGACACCGGATGCCGTGGTTGGTGTGGGAGCTGTGGATAGAGACCAGATGGCCGTGATAGCAACGTCTGCAGATTCTCTGTGGAGACAGAAAAGAAAGAGGAGGAGAGAAGCATGAATGGGGAATCCCTCTTGTTCCTAAACTCTGAGACCTCCGTGAATTTTGGTATAGCAGGTTTCAGGAAGACAAAAAAAGGAAGAGGTAGAGGAGAAGGAAGAAAAAAGAGAAAGAAGAGAATAAGAAGGAAGAGAATGAAAAATGGTCTATGTATATAGCTTTGTGGTTTACAAAATGCTTTAAATGCAGTATTATATGAGACTCTCACAGCAATCCTGTGCTGATAATGACTCACATTCCAATTGTGCATTAAAATGTTTTTAGCCTGTACCAATTCATAATTTCATTGACAGTTTATTAATGTGCCTGCTTTCTCACAGCCCTTCAAACATTTGTCATTTTTCTCCCCCCCCAACTTCACCAATCCGACAGGTGAGATAAAACGCCAAAGTTGCTTTAATTTGCATTTCTCTTCCAGACAGAGAGGTAACAGACTAAATATGCAGAATAAGACATACATTTTTGGACCTGGCCAGTGTGAGAATTTGTTTTGCTTGACTATGAACCTTTGTTATAAGGGTTTGGGGTTTTTCCCCACTGGTGCAGTGAGAAAGGGGAGAGAGAGAGAAATGTTTATTAATTTAAAAATTAAATAAGAAAATGTCCTATCTATGTGGCCATAGGCAAAACATCTAACATCTCAAAGTATCAATTTTCTTATCATGAAATAAGCATCATAATACATGTAGTACCTATCACACAAAAATTGTTTTAAGGTTCAAGTGAAATAATTGATGTAAAGCGCTTTGCACCCTATAAAGCACTCTATAAATGTAATGTATCATTATTATCCTTTATCATTATCCAACATATCCTCGTAACAACCCTGAGAGAGAAGGGTGGCTTAAGTAGTGTTGTCCTTGTTTTTGGAAAGAGGAAATTAACTCAAAGCAATAAAGTGATTTGTCCAAGCTCACACAACTAATAAATGACAGCTGTATGTCTCAAACTGAGATTAGCCCTCAGTCCAGGGCACTTTCCACTCTCTGCTAATGATCAGGTCCATTAAGGTAAACTTAATGCTATTATTTCAGCAATAGCTGTTGGAGTGGTAATATGAAAAGAGCCTGGAGTGGAAATCTGGAAACCTGGCTTTTAGCCACAGATCTGACGCTATCTGTGTTATCTCAGACAAATAAAAACCTCTCTAGATCTTGGTTGCTTTTGTCTGCAGATTGGGGAGATTCAGCTAGATGATCTTCAAAGTGTCTCCTAGCTTTGGCATTCTCTATTATTAGGATTCTTAGAACATTTCTGGTCCAACATGTCCCTCCCCCTTTTTTCCTGCCTCACCACTCCCTTTCCAGCCTTTATCTTTACTTCAATACTCCATCATGGAAAATGAATTTTAAAAAAAATGAATACCTTCCTCCTTCCCCCCTTCCCAAGGTCTTTGTCCCCATCTCCTTTTCACCCACCTCAGCTCTTTTGAATTTCCTTGGCTTATTAACAATCAGGAACCGGCAAGTCTCACATCCTGGGCTACCCAGCATACGGACTACATCCTCTTCCTTTGGGCAAAGGTTGTCATCATCCTCAGCAACTTCACTCTCCTCCCCTTCATCATCCTCTTCCTCATTCCCTATGGTCAAATTATCCTCTTCCTCTGGAGTCTCTAGCTTCAGAGCCAAGCCCTTTTCTCCCTCTGATGCCTCTAGCTCAAAAGCCTCATTTTCTGGGAATGAGAAATGGAAAGAGTACTGGACTGAGAAGGAAAAGGCAAAGTTCTAGATCAGTCATCAATTCATTATGTAACCATATGAAAGTCACTTCCCCACTGGGTCTTATTTTCCTCAGCCATAAAGTAAGGGACTTGGACTCAATGATATTGAGGATCCCTTTCACATTCAACATTATAGTTTTATAAAAGGCCCTCCCCTTTCAGTACCATACTTCTCCGAGAACAAGCTCCCCTAAATACCATGGACAGTTCCCAAATCTCAACACCTCAGCACAGTCAACCTGTCAATGACTTGATCCCTGGGATTCTTTGTTGTTCCAGATATAAGGACTCTGTCCTTTTAATAAGAGTCCAGAGTCTGAGTTCCATTTGGAAGAGTGGAAAGAATATTGGTCTAAGGGTTACAAAGACTTAGATCTGAGTCCTAGATCTGTCCCTGAATAGTTGTTTGATCTGGGCAAACCGTTTTCATTCCCGAGACCATAGTTTCCTTATACATAAACAGAAAAAGGTCAGACTATCTGAAATATAGTATCTCTTCTGACATTCCATGTTCTAAGTTCCTTCTCAACAGTGATACTCTGTTCTTTATGTTCCAAGGTTTCTTCCAGCTTTGACACTCTAAATCTATGGGCATCTGACCAAATCTGGTCTGACTGAAAATCTAATTCAGGTGAGCTATGGTCCAAAGTGTATAGAAAGTAGAGAGGGGCAAAGAGAAAAGAATGCTGCCTGGGATTTTAGGGAGTGAGAAGATACTTACTCAAATGAAGAGAAGACGCTGTGCCCAACAGGAGAAGTGGTAAGATGAGAAGTAATTTCATCTTTAACAGTAGGAAAGCAGTTGTTCCTTCTTCCCCTAAGGTTTCTCTCTCAGAACCAAAGGTCTGTAGTGAGCTACCCACCAGACAGAAAGAAACATTAAATTCTTGACTGAAGGGAAGACCTGTAAAAGGGAGGAAATTAGAAAGGGAGTGGAGAAAGGAGAAGACATCAAAGGGAAGGAGAAGGAAGAGAGAAAAGAACCCTCGATCCAGCTCCTGTTCTCCAGGGGTACAGGGAACACTTTCTGAGCAATATGTATACTGGACAATGCTTCAGTCTTCCATGTAGGATTGGGAGACTAATAATGAAAGTTACAGGAGGGAAACAGGGAGAGAGGATGGTGGCAAGCCTAGTTACTCAGTAAGTAGCTCAGATGTGGGATTTCAAAGCCTATAAAGCCAGTTCCCTCCCCAAAATTCAGGAAGGCAACGTGTATCTAACCACATGCTCCTGACCTACTTCCCACTTTCATGACTGAGGGGAGCTCCAAGGATCACATGTAGTTTATAATTCCATACAAGATGAAGCCATGAGGAAAAAAAAGAAAAAGAAAATAGATGAGAATGACAGGCACTAGAGTTGAAATTAGAAGAGAGTTTTTTGAGCCCAGGCTTTGCCATTTATTGGTATGTGGCTGAACAATTCACTTGATCCCTCTGAACTTCAGTCTCCTCTTTTGTAAGATTGGAATGATCTAGTCTTGCACAGTGGCCACAAGACAACACATATGAAATGCCATATTAATAGTTGCTATTGTTATCATCTTGGTTCCAACCTCTAAAAACAGAAAAACTCTCACCTGTAAGCACTTAAGGAGCCCAGTGATAAGCCAGTGAACAATTACAAAGAATCAAAAACTTTGCAGTATGTTCCTTCTTTAAGCCAAAGAGCAGTGACTAGGACATCCCCACTAAGAGAATATTAAAAAGCTTAGCAGCTCCTTAAAGAAAGAAAAGCATTGGTTTTAGGAAAATCCAGTGCTAGCCTTTGGACTCCATTTGCCTCAAGCAAGGAGAAACTCACCTCTTCAGGAAAGCAGGGATGAAGATCAGATCTTCATCATTTCTGTGGGCTTACATACTCTTGATGGGATCTTATAGAGGGACCTTGGAGGAAGTAGCCAATGAAGAAGAGATTGTGTCAACTCAAAGGAGGAAGATGAACTGATAATGACTGTCTTTCCACATCCATTCTCTAGAGCTGCCCATCACCTAGCTGATGCTCTGGGTCTCCTGCCACTTGCCCACTCCAAGAATGATAGAGATAGCTCTGGAAATTTCCGTATGTGTATACCTGGTAATTACAATAACTCTACAAATTATGCAATGCAAATTTGAGTATCCCCACTTTTCCCATGAAGAAATTAAGGCCCAGAGAGTGATAGCAAGTTTGACACTAAGAGGGCCAACTTTGGACTCTAAGGACCTGAGTTAGGATTGAAGTCCTATTATTTACTATTGGAGTCTCACTGGTAATAACACTTAACCTTTCTGGTCCTCAGTTTCCTTGACTGTAAAGTGATAGAGTTGACCCAGATTACACTCAAAGTCCCCTTTACAGCCCTGAATATATATGATCCTATGACTGTCCCAGGATTATAAAGCTAGGGAGTGGCAAATTTTATTGTTTAGTAATTTTTCAGTTGTGTCTGACTCTTCATAACCCCATTTGGGGTTTTCTTGGTGAAGATACTAGAGCAGTTTGTCATTTCCTTCTCCGGCTCATTCTACAGATGAGGAAATTGAAGCAAATAGGGTAAAGGGGCTTGCCCAGGATCACACAGCTAGAAAGTGTCTGAGGCCAGATTTAAACTTGGGAAGATGAGTCTTCCTGACTCCAGGCCTGGCACTCTATCCACTGTGCCACCTACCTGCCTTGGGAGTGGCAAAGCTAGGATTCAAATCTAGTTTTTTCCTCACCCTCACTGTATGATGTGGCTATACAATTCCTCACTGTAAGGAGATGATTATATAGTTAAGGAGCACAGACTAATAGACATGGGAGACTGAGAGAATCAATGTGGTGATAAACTAAATTGTAGTGTGACTCTTCAGAGAAGGGAGAGATCTCTATGAGCTGCAGAAGTCAGGAAAGTTTATCTAGAAAAGAAGGGATTGGAGCTGAACCTTAAAAGATGGATCAGATGTGAATAATGGGCAGAGAAGGGTGGGTAGACTAATCCGTGGATTAAGGAACAGCAAGAAAAAGGTGAATAAGTCATGATGTGCAGTGGCTCATATGGCCTACATAAGGAGCCGGGACTGGCTGAAGTCAAGAGGTTATAGCACGTAGGTTATTGTTCTTCATTCTCAAAGAGAACTATGACATCAGGAAGGTGGTGCCATGGCACTCAAGTGAATTGAAGTGAGAGAGGGCTGTGCAAAGTCACCAGCCTCAATTTCTCCTCCAGAGCCATCTGGTTCCAGTGGGAAGATATAGATCAGGATGACTAGAGATGGCCCGGATACTGTGAGAGACTTTTAAAAGCCATTTAAAGCTTTTAAAACAGGTGTCAGTTTGACTGAGGCAGTGATGAAGACTAGGCAAGAAATGAGGCAGAGGAGGGTTTCTTTTACCTAGTCAAAACAAAACAAAACAAACAAACAAACAAACAAAAAAACAGTGTGGGAGGGGAAGACCCTCAGGGTTTCTGGCCAAAACAAAAACAATTGCTATTTACATTCACTCTGAGCCAATCAGGGCCCGAACAATGACCAAGTCGGGCTTGGCCTGGGACCTATTATTGACAGCTGAAGTGATTTGGGTTTAAGGCCAGGGCCTGTAATATCTTTCAAGGTTTCAGGAATCAAAATTCACATTCCTTTGGGCAGAGTACCTGAAGGTTAAAGGAATGATAACCTGTCGAAGCAGTGGGAAATAAAGGTTAGCAGGATTGAGTGGACCTCATTCTCCAGAGCCTTGAAAGAAAAGGAGAGGACTTTGGAGTTGTCTTAGCTACAAGCACTAGTGTATGACCGAGGGCCAGTCATTTCACCTCTCCAAGCCTCAGTTTCTCCATCTGGAAAATGGAAATTATAATATTTACCCTACCTATCTCATAGCTTGTGGTTAGGAAGTACTTTGTGTGAATCATAAAGAGCTATATAAAATTCTAGATGATGAAGATTGTGGCGATGATAATGGTGATAATACAGTACAAAATGGTGGGTCTAGGGCAGGAATAAGAGGTGTGGGAGAGTTTCTTTGACATATAATCAGATTTAGAACACTTTTTTTCAAAGAATCTGTCACTGATGGATAACAGAACCCAAGAATCTTAGAGCAATAAACAGAACACAGAATTTCAGAGCTAGAAGGGACCTTGGAACATAGAATGTTAGAAAGTGAAATCAGAATACAGCATATGGAATGTCAGAGCAGAGAAGCACCTCAAAACAGAATATTAGAATTGGGAAGGGCTTTAAACTATAAAATGTCCATGCTGTGAGTGATACCAGATCATTGAACATGGAAGAGAGGAGCTGGAAGAGACCTTAGAATTTATCCAGTACAACCCAGCAAGGTTACACAGTGTGACGATGGCAAAGAGCCAGGCCTAGAGCCTAGGTCTCCTGACTCCTACATGAGTTTTCTCTATACCATACTAAGTAAATCTCACTTGGTTATATTGGGGGTAGGGTGGGGGAACTAATGGGGGCCTAATGCCACCTAAGCACACAATCAAGTCATAAACCAACCAAATTAAAGATGTAGGAGGGTATTTCCATGAGGTCAAGGTCAAGGCCTAGATGTGCATAAGGATGGGCTTGGGGTCAAGCTGGAGCAAAAGCCAAGATGAGCAAATTTGGGCAAAATACTATATAGCAAAGGGAGACACGGGGAAGGTGACGTGAATCTCTCTATGTAATCGGAAGATTCTTCTCTCACAACTTTTTGCCTTTCTAAGTGATTCCATCATCTTTCCCCATAGCTCTAAAAAGAAGGGATTTCTCCTAAACAGAAAACACTTAGGACCAAAAGTCAGAACCCTATTCTCACAATCCTGGCCTCTGTCTGTTGGGCTTGGCCAATGTTCTGTGGGTGGGAGATGAACTGTTGGTGACAAAAGGGCCTCTGGCCTTCTTAGGGAGCTAGCTACATAGGAGATGGTGACCTGTTCTGTTACTAAGTGAAACCGTCCCCCTCTCTCCTCTTGCTGAGCTTATAGACTTCCCTATTTGGATGCCCTACTGGAGTTGAGTAAATGTTCCATAATGATAATAATGATGATGATGATGATGATGATGAGAGTTACTTTTAAGGTTTCCAAAGCACTTTACAAATATTGTCTCATTCCAGTCTCACTATATCCTTGGGGGATAGGTACTAATATTGTCATTATTTTATAGATGAGGAAACTGAGGCTAAGAGAGGAGTTAAGTGACTTATGGAGTCTCACAGCTAAGCAAGTATCTGAGGCAGGAAGTGGTCTTCCTGACTCCTAATCTAGCATTATATCCATTGCACCACTCATGTACCTTACCTTACTAATTCACATACAAGCGTCAAAAAGAATCTTCCTAAAGCACAAGTTTGACTATGTTACTCCTCTGGTCAAGAACCCTCAATGGCTCCCTATTACATCTAAAATAAAACAAAACTCATTCGCTTGGCTTATTTTTTGAAGTTTAAAATCTCACATACATTTATTATTGAACATGCAATGCGTATAAACCGAAAGACTCTTCAACGATGATTTTTTTTTAAGTCTGTAACTGAAGAAACAGCTTTAAAAATAATACTTCTTATTAGACGTGGCATGGTAAGCTGTTGGGGTGTGCTGCAGGATATATACATATCATATATATATATATATACATATATGCATATACACATATACATGTACATACATATACATATGTGTCATCATCATACTGACAATTCTTTATAAGTCAATCTTGATCCCACTCCAGAGTTTCCTCTGACTTGTAACCAATCTCATTTCCTATTTTAATAAAAGTTCACTGGAATGGGGCAGCTAGGTGGTGCAGTGGTTAGAGCACCGGCTCTGAAGTCAGGAGGACCTGAGTTCAAATCCGGCCTCAGACCAAACACTTGACACACACTAGCTGTGTGACCCTAGGCAAGTCACTTAACCCCAATTGCCTTAAAAAAAAAAGTTCACTGGAGAATGGGATAATTTTGCTTCTTCTGTGCAAGGAAATTCTTGGTCCTGAAAGTCTTGTGGGAACACTTGGGGAAGAGGCTGCCATAGCACGGGCACCGCAATGGCAGAATGAATGCTTGATATTTAAATTTTATCATAGTAGGACCCCATCCTACTTTTAAAAAACCCATTGCTTATTACTTCACATGTTTTCTGTTCCTGCTGAACTGGCCTAATACTGTTCTCCAAACTTAGCATCCAATCTCCCACCTCCACACCTTTGCACAGGCTGTCCTTCATGCTTGAAATGCCCTCCCTCATGCTAGAGATGTAGAGGTAGAGATACACATAAGAAGTAGAGATGAAAAGGGAAGGCATTCCAGATATGGGGGACAGCCAATACAAAGGCAGATGTTTGGCATATAATAAACACTTAACAGATGCTTGTTGAATGGTTGAGTATATAGAAAATAGAGTGGCTGTATGAGGAACTGTATGAAAGTCAAATTGCGGGACAGTAATGCGCTGTTGGTGGAATTGTGAACAGATCTAACCATTCTAGAGAGCAATTTGGAACTATTCCCAAAGGGCAACCAAACTGCATACCCTTTGATCCAGCAATACCATTACTAGGTCTGTATCCCAAAGAGATCACAAAAAAGGGAAAAGGACCTACAGATGCAAAAATATTTATAGCATGGGGCAGCTAGGTGGTACAGTGGATACAGCATGGGCCCTGGAGTCAGGAGGACCTGAGCTGAAATCTGACCTGAGACACTTGACACTTGCTAGCTGTGTGACCCTGGGCAAGTCACTTAACCCCATTGCCTAGCCAAAAAAAAAAACACCACCAACAACAACAAAATTATTTATAGCAGCCTTTTTAGTGGTGGCAAAATATTGGAAATTGAGGGGATGCCTGTCAATTGGGAAATGGCTGAACAAGCTGTGATATATGAATGTAATGGAATACTATTGTGCAA